CACCACTTCAAACAAAAGGTTGGGAAGGAAAACCCCATAAATACTGCGCGATAGCAGTTGCTGAACATTAGAAACCTATTTTCCAGAAATATTGATTCAAGAGAAACATTTTGTAAATTTCAACCGAAAACAGTATTGGATTCTCGATCAATGAATGCCAAATGTATCCTTGTAGGGAAACGGCTAATATTAACATTTCTATTTCCGGCTTGTGGAAGCCACATAATGACCTTATGAGCATCCCCGATAATATTTATGATTCTGATTTCTGATAATTATGATGAATATTTATGATTCTGATTTATGATATTAATGATGAATATTTATGATTCCAATTTATGATAATAATAACGAATATTTATGATTCTGATTTCTGATAATGATGATGAATATTTATGATTCTTATTTATGATAAGGATGATAAATATTTATGATTCTGATTTATGATAATGATGATAAATATTTATGATTCTGATTTCTGATAATGGTGATGAATATTTATGATTCTAATTTATGATAATGATGATGAATATTTATGAATCTGATTTATGATAATGATGATGAATATTTATGATTCTAATTTATAATAATGATGATGAATACTTATGATTCTGATTTATGATAATGATGAAGAATGAGTATCATATATGTCTAATATATATTAAAATTTAATACATATTATTTATTGAAGAAAATATTATAAAGAGGTTATGTTGGCAATATTGTTGTATCTATACCTTTAAAATAATTTATATCTGCATGTAATTATTAGATCATTTCACCTCAAGGAAGACAATAAAGCCACTAAAACGCAAAGCGTTACTGAGTGTTAGAATATATGAGACAAAAATAAAACATTATTAAGGAGAGAGAAGAATTAAAGAACAGGAATGAAGAAGACAATTAAACGCAGGGGTAGTAATGAGACAAATACTTCTTAGAGTTAGAAAGTATATGATATTGTAAAGAGCCATTATCGACTAGCACCATAAATGAAGACGGCTTATAAAAACAATTATTTCTGATATAATAATCACCACTGGACATAGATAGATAGATAGATAGATAGTCTGGCATAAATTGACAGACTTACATAGACAGATTGGTATAGATAGACTGGTATAGATAGATAGATAGAGAGTATAGCATAGATTGACAGACTTACATAGATAGACAGATAGATAGATAGATAGATAGATAGATAGCCTGGCATGGATTGACAGGCTTACATGGACAGATTGGAATAGATAGATAGATAGATAGATAGATAGATAGATAGTCTACTGCTACTATTATATATTTAGAGATTCTAGTTAAAATACAAATATTTTCATGGTATTTTTTCTAATGAAATTTCCTCTAGAGTTTATGAATTTAAGCTCAGTACTAGATTGACGGTAAGGTCTCATCAATTTAAAGACGAAATTGCTAGATGTAACCATAAGTTCTATGTTAGTAGTTTCTTCTCTTGCACATATCGATTGTGGAACTCTCTTCCTGGATTCTTGCTTCCCCGTCAACTTCGATCTTCAAAATTTTAAATTCAATGTCACTCATTATCTTCTGTTTCAATTCTTATTATTGTCCTCTCTCCTTGATAGTAGTTTTTCTCATATTCTCAAATATTCAATAATCTCTTGCGTCCTAATGGCTTTATTGTCTGGCTTGGGGTGAAATGATTATAAAAGAAAAGAAGATGTAGAAAAATCTAAAGAGACTAAGATAGAAAGATAGTTATGATAACTTACCTAGATAATGAATAAGCAAAATATATATATATATATATATATATATATATAATATATTCAGGTGCAAATTTTTTAAGTGGCCTCTTTTTTTTCTTTTGATGTGCCGTGTCCTTTCAGAACGTAGGTGATCATGGCTCTCCACTTCTCTTCATCCCTTTTAGCGCTCAATAAGTTTCTTGCCTCTGCCAACTGCCCCAGACTTCGTTCTGCCATCCACTTGCTTAAGCCTGCCAAGTATATAATGCGTTGCTTTCCCTTGTCTCTTTTCCCCTTTATTCGACCTGAGAGTATCAGATTCTCCAGGCCTCCCTTTCTCATTATGCGTCCCAGATATTTCGTCTGTCTCTTTCTTATGTTAAGTATAAGCTTTCTCCTTGTTTGCATCCTCTCCAAGACCTCATCGTTGCTCACACGCTCGGTCCATGATATCCTTAGTATTCTTCTGTAGAACCACATCTCCGTTGCCTAGACTCTCTTCATCTTTGAGGAGACTGTCGAACATTCGTTGCCGTATAGGAGGACGGATGTCGTGTAAGAGCTCAGTACTTTTTCTTTGTCACCAAAGAAATCCTCCTGCCTCGCAGTACTCTGCCCAGCTTTTGGAATGCATCCTTGGCGATCCCAATCCATCTTCGGATCTCATCGTCGCACCTGAAACATATCTGAATAGGATACATCCAATTTCTAGTTCTTTCTTCAGCTTTCCGGCCCAGTGATGATGCTCTAATGTAGGCCAGACATGAGCAGGAAGCCGCATGAAATATTAATTTTCATACGAGTAAAAAGAAAGATTTTTTTTTTTGTTGAAGCTTTGTCAACTATTTTCGCTATGGACAAACTTCCAATTAAAAAATATGGAAGAGCTGACCTTTTTTTTCCTATAATTAAAAACTAGAATTATTGGTATAACATTATCACTGATGACAAGACAATTGACAGACTCTGTTGCATGTGATTTGTTTCGAATTGACTCATTTGAAAATATTATTTCTATGGAGTGTATTAAAAAAAGGTTTGAACAAAGTAACTAAACACCAAATTTTTTATATATTTATATTTTTTTCGCTATCCTCTGCCAGCCCCAGTGATGGAGAAAGCATTACCCCGTACCATCACCAGTGAGATAAGCTGCAAGAGCCACTCCGTTTTGCGAGGCCTGTCCCTTAATTGAGATGCCATCCCGCGAACCCTCCGAAAGAAAGCCAGCGAAAGAGGGACAATAACCCCAGATGACTGAAGACTCCACTGCCACAGGAGTAAAAAAAAAATTTTTTTTTTTTTTTTTGCGGGGGGAGCCTCAAAAAATGCTCAGTGGAAAAAGTCATAATATTATCTCTGACCTTATGTCTCTGGTTGGGATCCGGAAAGGAATGAATATACACCAGAAATCAAAGGAAATAAAATAGTAATAATAATAATAATAATAGCCGTGCTTAAGATAATCTTTAAATATGTGCATGAAATTTTAAAGTAAAGGCTTTTCACCAAAGATAATTTAGTCAATCCTAACAATACTAACGATAAATTGTTTATCATGCTCATCTTGCTTACTTTTGATGCTGAAGCATATCCCACTGACTGCTTACATACAAAGGTGACCTTTTACTGGATTGAGTAAAGCTTAATAAATGTCCCCTAAGACATTAAGAAAGAAAGGAAAACTGACACAAGCCCCCTCCTGTGGAAACCAATGTCCAAATGTTTCCCTAATCAACTAACCGGATATAAGCCTCGATTTGACATTTGAAAAGGCGGAGCACTTGTGACAAAGTTGACTGCGGTGTAGAAAGATTCTTGTTGTAGGTGAAGTACTTAACGAATTTTCAAGTCGTAGGCCACGTAATAATGGAATTGTACTCTAGCAACGATATAAATCAAAACGCCATTTATTTATTCCAATACCACATACTGCTCTACTAACCCTTTTTATATTTTACTTTCTTTCTTTTGTTGTATTTGAATTTTCTAAAATATATTGTCAATTTATTTCTTTTTTCATTGGTTACCTTCTTTTCGTTTATTCATTGTTCTGTTTATTTTTCTCTTTTAAGTATTTTTTACTAGGCTAATAATTGCTGCAGAATCAAATCCTATATATATATATATAGAGAGAGAGAGAGAGAAAGAGAGAAAGAGATATGATAGAAATATTGTTATAAGGTATGTTATATTTATGGGTAAAAGTGCAAATATAAAATTTGAAAATTGAAATCAACACCCAGCGGCGACAGTCTATCTTATGCTTAAAAGCAATTAGTCCATATACATCCATATATATATATATATATATATATATATATATATATATATATATATATATATATTTGTATGTGTATATATATATATATATATATATATATATATATATATATATATGTATGTATGTATGCATGTATATATATATATACATTTAGTCAAGAAATATATATATATATATATATATACATACACATTTACATTTATATAAACAAATATGTATACGTTATATATATATATATATATATATACATACATTTAAACAAGAAATACATATATATATATATATACACACATACATACATTTAGTCAAGAAATCTTATTTTCCATTCTGAGAACAACTATATTATATATATATATATATATATATATATATATATATATATATTTTATTATAATAAATGACAATAAAAATATTTTCCATCGCTACAAAAAAACTTTCATCTTTCACTACTTCATCAGGTGATGGTAGATAACTAATAATAAAAATGACTTAGGGTGATTTAAGAAAAATTATCTTTACCTCTTTTCATAGTTAAAAAAGGGGATAAGGTCAGAAGTATTCAGTGGTCGTTACGTAACATAAATTAAGTACTTTAATCTCAATTCAATATATAATACTGCCAACAGTGGGATAACCAGATTTTTTTTAATTTAAATTACGTAACGGCTAGTCAATAATCAGCAGCTAAATACTTTTTGTGCATGAAACTCTAAGTCGTACTATCCGGATAATACATACATACATACACACACACACACACACACACACACATATATATATATATATATATATATATATATATATATATATATATATATATGTATGTATATATATAATTTTTTCTTCAAATATATTCGACGACCTTAGTACTTATCAAAAACTGGTTCTTGCCTATATGAAAAATAAGCTTTCATTGCCAGATACAGCAGTTTTAGATCTCTGAAATTTGAATTTCAATTAATTCAATGGACGTCATTTATAACAGCTGAATGATGAGTGCATTTCGAATATTTATACCTGTTGCTATCTCGCCACAGTTGGAAATTACACGCATACATAAAATAAATACGGAATTTTCAAATAAAGTACATCTTTTACTTTCCTTGTTCTATCTCGTTTTTTTTCCTGTTTCTTTTTTAATTTATCTTTCTTTCTTTTTCTCTCTTTGTTCTGTTTCCTTTTTCCTTTTCTGTATTTTTTCGCTTTTTTTTCTATTTCCTTTCTTTCTTTTTACTGTTTCTTTTTTCACTTTTTCTTTCTTTTTTTCTATTTCCTTTCTTTCTTTTTACTGTTTCTTTTTTCACTTTTTCTTTCTTTTTTTTCCTTTTTTTTTTTACTTTTTTTTTCTGTTTCTTTTTTTCACTTTTTCTTTCTTTTCTTTTTCCTTTTTTTTTTTTTTCTTTTTTTTTACTGTTTCTTTTTCTTTTTTTTCTTTCTTTTTTTTTTCTTTTTCCTTTTTTCTTTCTTTTTTACTGTTTTCTTTTTTTTTCACTTTTTTTTTCTTTTTTTTATTTCCTTTCTTTTTTTTACTTTTTCTTTTTTTTCTACTTTTTTTTTTTCTTTCTTTTTTCTATTTCCTTTCTTTCTTTTTACTGTTTCTTTTTTCACTTTTTCTTTCTTTTTTCTATTTCCTTTCTTTCTTTTTACTGTTTCTTTTTTCACTTTTTCTTTCTTTTTTCTATTTCCTTTCTTTCTTTTTACTGTTTCTTTTTTCACTTTTTCTTTCTTTTTTTTCTTTCTTTTCCATTTCCTTTCTTTCTTTTTTTTTGTGTTTCTTTTTTTCACTTTTTTTTTTTTTTTTCTTTTTCTATTTCCTTTTCTTTCTTTTTTCTATTTCCTTTCTTTCTTTTTACTGTTTCTTTTCCTATTTCTTTTCTATTTAATCTATCTCCTTTCTTTTCACTTACTCTTCCTCTTTTTCCTATTCCATTTTATTCCTATTTCTCACTTCTTTCTTCTTTTTCTTTCTTTCTTTTCCGTCTTTCTCTATCCCCTTTCTTATCCCCTCTTTACCTCCTCTTCTTTTTTCTTATTCCTTTGTTTATTTTTTATTTTATTTTCGATCTTTCCTATACACTGTTCTTTCTTTCTTACGTCTTTTATTTTTATAAATTTTCTGTTCGTATTACTTTTCTTCTATATTTTATATATTTTTTTCTTTTCTTTATTTCCTTCTTTCTCGTCTTTCTTCTTTTCAATTTCCTTTCTTTCTTTTTCATTATAAATTCTTCTTTGCTTCCGTTTTTTCCCCTTTACTGATTTCTATTCAATACCTTTCTACTTTAAGAGAAAAAAAAAACTACTTTGTACCAGAAAATGTGCCCCAAGCGGTTGTCGCTAAAGTTCCCTTGTCCGAGTGTCTATCAACAATTCACGACGTCAACCATTCGTTCATCTTATTGAAGAGTCTTTCACCTTAACTGGACAATGGTCACTTTCTGACTTGGTAGATATTTCACACACATTTCTGCGTCAGTTGCCAAGTACTTGACAAGAAGCTTAAAAGGCATTCCATTGATAGACGATAACCGACAGTTCTTTTTTTTAACTATGAAATATTGAAATCATTTTTGCTTGACGTTTATTGTCTAAGTCAAGGATGGCCAACCTGTGGCGCATGCGCCATGATTGGCGTATTGTATGCTTACAAGTGGCGCATTGCATCCTTTTGATGAAAAGAAACTAAGCCACTTCTACTCATTCATTTCAATGATTTTATATTTATTGCACGCCCTTTGCGAAAGTGCTAAACAGATACGCCCCTGGTCATAAGGATATATTTTTCAAATAAATAGATTTTATTATAACTTTAAAATATGTCCATATTACAACACGTACTGAAAGGAAGTGAATGTTTGTGTGGCGCATTTAAATTAATCGTACAAAATATTGGCGCATGGAATCAAAAGGTTGGCCAACCCTGGTCTAAGCCGTAAAAATTTACATGAACTTTCTTCTTCAGATTTAGTAACCGTATCAACAGTCGATTTGTTAAAACCTAGGTTGCACTATAAGTAAACCACTGATGGCCCGGTAAACATTGTCCAATAAAAAGCCGGATTATCCGTTATGACGAACCAACAGCACCAGTAGAATTTCATAATACAAGTTTGAACCACTGCTGCATCTCTAGGAGCGCTACTGCCTCAGTGATAGAAACTTATATAAAAATAAAAACCGCCACCTTAAAGCAGCGAATCACGCCACATACCCCGAATCCATAAAAAAATTCAGGATGTGGAATTAGTAAATACTAAATATTTCAAATTCCATGACGTATGGATTAGCGATAACGACTTAATTCTTGGAGAAAATAACTAAATATAGAATAGGCTGCACAAGAGATAGTTTCGCTTAATACTGCAAATTGATACTAAACCAAAATAGAAATATCGAGTCATGTTCTTAAATAACCTCGTCAGATCGTGAATTTCATACTGATGTCATGTGTGATGCTAGACCCGTTCAGAAATAGTTAGAATATCAGCTGCATGCAATCGTATTCTAAGATCAATGTTGAAAAAGGACTTTGAGTGAGTGAAACCTGGGGATATTGGCAAAGATCCTTACTCTTTGAACATTGTTGACGAAATGTGCCAAATAACAGAAACTACATCACTTGACGAATACTACTAGACTTGAGAAACCTGTTTTCCCTAAAAGAAAAAGTGTTTTAAAAGAAAGATTAGTCCTAACCGAAAATGTCACTGACTGCTCGGTCAATGAATGCCGAATATTTCCTTATAAGGAAACGACTATTACTGCTAAGACCACTGCCACTTATCAACCTGTTTATTTACTTTGGCTATCGCATGAAAGTGAAGGAAGGAGAAGTAAAAAAAAAATAAAAGAAAAAATAGAAAGAAAAAGAAAAAAGAAAAAAAAAAGAAAGGAAAAGGAAAAAAAAGAAAAAGGAAAAAGAAACAGTAAAAAAAGAAAGGAAATAGAAAAAAAGAAAAAAAAAAAAACAGTAAAAAAAAATAGAAAAGAAAGAAAAAAGTGAAAAAAGAAACAGTAAAAAAAAGAAAGGAAATAGAAAAAAGAAAAAGAAAAAAGAAAAAAAAAAAGAAAAAGTAAAAAGAAAAAAAAAAGAAACAGAAATAAAAAGAAAAAAAAAGTGAAAAAAAAAAAAGTAAAAAAGAAACAAAAAGAAAGAAAGGAAATAGAAAAAAAAAAGAAAAAGAAAAAAGAAAAAAAAGAAAAAGTAAAAAGAAAAGAAAAGAAATAGAGAAAAAAAGTGAAAAAAAAAAAAAGAAAGTAAGAAAAAAAAAAGGAAAAAGTAGAACAAAGAGAGAAAAAGAAAAAAAGTGAAAAAAAAATAGAAAAAAAGGAAAAAAGAAATGAAAAAAAGAAACAGAAGAAAAAAAGAAAGGAGATAGAGCAAGGAAAGTAAAAGATGTAGGCGACTACTTTATTTGAAAATTCCGAATATATCTTAGGTATGCGTGTAAGGATTCATTGTAATCTTGTCCAGTTCCCTTCCGAAAAGCTAAGCAAATTATTAAGAAACAGGAAAATCAACCAACCTTTCGCTGAAATCTGCCGAAATCAAACGCTTTCTATCAAATCTGATTTTTACCCTAAGCTGATGCTTAAAGAAAACAACTAGATCCCGATGCGAATAACGTTCATCTCGCGAGATACCCTCCTTTCGGGACGTCAACACCACCTGTTTTGCCACGGCTAGCAACGTAAAAACACCATCCGTTTTAACCCGGAGAATGGAGGCGACACATTGTCACACGCGTACGCAAAGATCAATAGACACAAGCCGATCGGGAGAGATAAGAGCCGTCAACTCGCCGACATAATCCTAGAAAGGGCACACCTGAGGACAATGGTAGAAGGAGTTCGAAGCCAGGGTCACACGGATGACAGTCAGGCAAATCTGCCTCATGCCATCTGAAGGTTGAGAGTTAGCGCATTCCGAATCAATCGCCAGCTAAGCAAAAACTCAGTGTTGCTGAGATAATGCGCTGCTGACGCCCAGGACCAGAAACAGCGCAACTCTGATGCCGACAAGCTGATCCGGTCACACGGAGAATCCTTCTCGACCCTCTGCACTAATTCACGATACAATAACCTGCCACGACCGCGACAACGCTTAACCCAATAAATGGGATGAGTGATGGCAAGGCTAGGGAAGGCGTTCCTAACACTCCGTGCCATAATCGAGTCCTCCGTCAAAACACGGCGTAGAAAAGCCAAACTTGAGGCGTGTTGATGACTCTCCAGGTATGGCAATCCCAGCCCCCAAGAGTGGTCAAAAAATGTTCTATCGCTTCCATACGGCTCTTGCAAAGTGGAAGTACAGCCAAGCAGTAAAGGATGAGGGGCAAGACGTAAGACACGCCTCAGCCCTACCACTTCGAGGACAAGCTTCTTCGGAGTCAAGTCCGGATCGACGCTCCGACCTTTGCCTGTGTCGTTGACTAATTCTGCTTTAGCTGAAGTGTGTGTCCGAATCACACTCCAAGAATGCGGACGGGTCCATCAGTTTAACCAAAGGGCCCCGGAAGCGCGGCCCCCTTCCAGGCACCTAACCGTAAGGCGGAAGAATTGTTATAGTCAATTTTGGCCCCCGTCACCTTGTACCGTTCAAGTTGCTTCGGTACAACCTTAATGTCACGGCGGCACCACACAAAAATGGATACGTCATCGGCGTACGCAGAAACCCTGGTTCGAGCTCCACCAGGAACAGCGATTCTACATAGGGCTGTACTGCACGCCCTCTCTTTTAACTGGCGAAGGAGGGCTCCAACGCCAAAGCGTAAAGTAAGGGTGACAGTGGACAACACTGTCAGACAAACCGAGATACCGCAAAAGCGCCTGACCACTTTCTGTTCACTTGTAGCGCAGTACTGGGGGAGCGATACAGGAGGAAGATCCACTTGCAGAAGTAGGGTTCGACCCTGTAAACCCTGATAAATTCCTTGGACTGATGAAAATTGATCAGCGCGGCTCGCTGGTCGTCTTTTACACCCTCTATAATCGTGCGGATCAGATGCAAGTTGCTTTGAATTGTTCGCAAGTCTGATCAGGTCCCAACAAGCACGCGACAACTGACTGCAAACTCTCTCTCCAGGATCTTGTCCAAAATGTTATGGGCCTGTAATCGTCTAAATCCCACTCAATATCCTTGCCCTTTTTCAACAGCGTGATCACATCCCTGGAAATCCGGTCAGGTATAGACCCCTGCCGGAACTACGTTTTGAAAACCAGTGTCAAAATCTGAACAAAGATGTGAGACTGACTCAAGTATATTTCATAGTACAGACCATCAAGTCCCGGAGACTTGCCAATGCCAACCATCTTCAATGCCAAGTGAACTTCGTTCTCTGTGATCTCACCCTCGCAGCTAACCCTTCAGAGGGAGAAAACTGAGGAAAATCAGGCAAATAGCTGCAAAACCCATTCCAACTGAGACCAGACTACTTGGTAAAACGGCTCTCGAAATGCCGCCGAAACGCCTCACACATGCCCTTAGTCGAGCTCAGAGAGCGCCACTCCGGCTTAATGACCGCGCCAATGTATCAATCGGAACCTGGACGGATCTCTTCCTTGTCCAATTCTACGCCCATGTTTACAGCCTCGTTAGCCATCTTGTTTAACCTATGTCTAATTACATGACCCTACGACTATCTCTAGAGAATCCCCCTAGCCGAGACAAACTATCCTCTAGAGTCTTCAGCTTTTTACCCTTATCTAGAGCGAGGTGTTGGCGATAAAGGACCTATTCTTATCCTTAAGCCTCTCCCACCACATACTCCCAACAAACGCCCCACTAACTCCAGCGAATCCAGTCAGCTGTTGCTGAAATTCCTGCCTGTCCAGTAAGAACTTATTGAACTTCCAGTGTCTATTTTAGGCCTATTACCTAACACCATCCGGGCACAGATGTATCTATGATCTGAATAGTCTAAGTGGTGAAGGGTGGGACAATATGTAAATGTATGTCGAACCTTCTCACTAACATTCTGTCCAGGTAGCTGGCTACCTGGAGAGGAGGCCACTTAAGTGTCCACGTCCATATCACCCGCCCCGGATGATCGACCCTTTATCTATCGACGATCAGATCAACCAAGCTATGATCGCCTGATGACCTCCCGCTAGGAACGTCTCCAACCGATGAAAAAAGTCGGCACGCTCCCCATAATCGTTGGGCGCATAAACAGAAACAACCCGAAACAAACCACTGCTCACGAAAATATTGGCCATGATCAA